TGGGCAGAAGAAACTGGTCAGCTCAGTGGCCCCAGGTATAAGTTTTTCCTTAGTTCCAAGAAAACAGGTGTCTGTCCTGTTGTTCCCTGTGACTGTCCAAGGGCAAGATTTTCTTGCTTTGGTAAGCAGGTACCTTTACCCACCTTAAGGGACGCCTCTGCTTCCCAGTGGGCTCACTCTGCAATCCACACTGGCTATCTTGGACCAGAAAAGGCAGCTACTGAATCCGACCTTGGATGGACCACACAAGGAGACAGATGCTTACAGTGCAGGGGAGTGCCAGGCCTGACTAGGTTACCAGTGGCTGCAAGGAGGGATCATTGACATACATGCAGTGCCCTGGCTGGGGGCCCGGCAGGTGCTGTGAGCCCACAGAGGCCCACCTGTACACCCGGAACCACCTGGTGGGGCAACTGACTGGGAAGGTGAGGCTGCAGCAGTAGCTGTAGCTGTGGAAGGCCAGGCTAAGAGTATAGACTCTGAGCCCAACAGACAGATTCGCATCTGTGAGACAAGGCACGTGAGCTTCCTGAGCCACGTCTCTAACGGCGATAGTCAGACCTGCCTGTCACCATTGCTATGCAGCTGTGGCAGCACCTCTTTCTCTGCCAGGCACCTGGTGGAGGCTCCAGGAGGGCTGATTCCCCCAATACCTAATGGCAGTAGGGAGCTACAGAGGGTTTTGAGCTCAAGGACCATGTTATGGCCATCTGCACCAAGAAAGTTTCCATCCACCTTTCAGGCTAACGAGAAATATCCCTGGTGTGTGTATTCTTCTAACTGGGTCTCACAGGCTAGTCCCCAAGGGCGATTTCCCCCCCTCCTACATCAATATTATATGCAAGTGTTTTTAAGTCATTTCATCATGAAAAGAAGCGATTTAACATAACTATTACCCAGGATTCTTCATGAAATATGCATCAAGCAATTAGGTCTAAAAGCAAGAGGTGAGGCCTCGCACCCTGCTCTGCAGGGCGGGCAGCTGTGGGCTGAGTGATGTTTTATTAAAGCTCGTGATTAGAAGGCGAGGTGGGGCCTGTTATTAGGCCAGCGCACAGGCACGCACGCTAATCCTGGTGCTGGTGACAAGGAGGTGCTTTTTTGTGATGGTAATGAGGGATCTGAGCACCATGACAGTCCTAGCATCCCGCCTCCACCGACCTTGCAAGACTCATTAGACAGGTCACCCACTAGAGACACCCCTAATGGTGACTTTGCTCTCTCAAGATGTCCTATCAAAGGAGACAGGGCTGACACAAAAGCTCTTCACCGCTCCCCAGGGACCCGGTCCTCCCAGAACCTGGTGGTACCCATACTGCAACAATGCATGCTGCCTTGCAGAGAGAGGGATGGCCCAGCCCAGAGCCTGCCTCTCTGATCTGTTCCCTCCAAAGTACCAACAGGAGTCCCCCTCCCCACCCCCACCTCCCCCCTCCCCCCCAAAAAACCACTCTGTTCAGAACAGCACCCATGGCATCCTGTATACACTCCTTGTCTGATGCAGGCTTCTGGGGCTTGAACTCAGCCTGGGCACTGTCCCTGAGCATCTTTTGCTAGCACTCTACCATAAGCCACAGTGCCACTTCCAGCTTTTTCTGTTTATGTATTACTGAGGAATAGAACCCAGGGCTTCATGCATGCTAGGCAAGCACTCTACCATTAAGCCACCTTCCCAGTCTCCATAGAGATTTTTATGGTTTCCTTTCTTACGCTGGTGTCTGTGACAGAGGCTCACACTCTAACAACTACTGGTGTCTTCTTTGATGTAGTGTTAGATATCATTAGACCCCTCATTGGCAGCCACTTTGGGGAGGTTTTGTTTTGTTTTTTGAGACAAAGTCTCCAAAACCTTCCTGCTTCAGCCTTCTGCGAGGCAGGATTACAGGTACACGCTATCACACCCAGCTACTGGCACTAGTTCCACATCTGTTGTTTGGTGGCCTCTCATTGGGGGGGGGGGGGTCCTTGTGACCAATCAGGATGTATTGTGTGTGATGTCACCTGACCTTTGCATCAGTCCAGGATTGGCCAGCCTTCTCGGGACCCAAGAATCCCTTGGGATGAAGTTGCCATCCTACCTTTGTGGCTGGGGACTTCACTAGCCAGGTTATACTGTTCCCAATTCCAGGGAAAATGTGTGTTCCCACATGTAGCATTTGACTCCCGGCCCTTCTGCTGTCTCTGCCCTGCCAGTAGCCTGGTGAAGTAACCCAGAGACTCAGCATGGAGATGTCTGCTCTCAGAGTCTGCGGCCTCTTCCCTGCCACCCTGCCCAGCCTCACATGGAACACTGAGGATTAGACAGCAACCTCTCTGGGTCTGAGGATTGCAGAGGTTAGGAGAACAGGCTCTGAGAAGGACCCCATGAAGGGGATCTGGCACCACTAAACCAATGCTGTGTGACTGTGGTCCATTCACTTCCCTTCCTGAACCTCAATACACAAGACTTGGCAATGCAGGCAGATTCCCCAGTGAAAGCAGGACTGTGAGCCCAGCAGCCTGGCATATACACACAGGGTTCCAGACACCTAGGACTAAAGGCACACGCGGAGGCCATTGTGGCACTGATAAGGCAGGGACAGAGCCCACCCAGCAAGGCGTGAGGGCAGCATGAGGGCCACACAACCGTCACGTTGGGGCCAGTTGTCTCCTAGCATGTTAGTCCTGGACTGTGGTCCCAGCTCTGCCCTGATTTCTGAGTTTCATGACCCACTTAGCCCCTGTGTACACCACACCCTGCTCGTGGTGTAAGTTAGTGGAGAAAGAAATAACAGCACGGCAGGAGGAGGGACAGCAGGCCTGGAGAGGCGGTAGGGAATTAAGGGAGTACCCTGCTTCACTGCATGTTAACAGACAACAGTACTGTCTTTACCACTGGAAATGGACCGTTGACATCCACCTGTGGCCCTATCAGAGCTGTTGTCACCATCACTGCCAGTCACTTCTAAAAGAAAACAGCATGCATGGGTGCTAGTGGCTCACTCTTATAGTCCTAGCTACTTAGGGGGCTGAGATCTGAGGATCAGGGTTTGAAGCTAGCCTGGGTAGGAATAGTCCATGAGACTCTTATCTCCAGTTTACCAGGAAAAAGCCAGAAGTGGAGCTATGGCTCAAGTGGTAGGCAGAATGTTAGCCCTAAATGAAGAGTGAGGGAAGCAAGAGAAGAAAAGAAAGTGTGAAGGACAGGCATGGTGGTTCATGCAGGAGGCAGAAAGTGGAGGATCCAGAGTGAAAACATGAAGTTAACCTATTTAGCCACCAGCTGCCTTCCCCAACCCCTCAACAATGAGATGCACTCAGTATTCACCAGCTGCTGTGACCCTTCGTCAGACAGCTTCTCTGCTTTGCTCCCCAAGCCCTGGACTGGGGGTAGATCACAAAGTCTGGTGGCTTTGCTTCTTAAAAAGTCACCCCATGCCAGGCGCTGCTGGGTCACACCTGTAATTCTGGCTGCTCAGGAGGCTGAGATCTGAGGATTGCCAGCCTGGGCAGGAAACTCCATGAGACTCTTCCCTCCAACAGCCACTATTTAAAAAAAAAAAAAAAAAACATAAAAGCTCCAGGATGGGGCCTGGGTCCTGAGCCCTGAGTTAAAGCCCTAGAACCAGTATGCATGCACCCCCACGCACGTGCGCACGCGCGCGCACACACACACCACCCCACTTGGCGCTCAGAGAAGAAATGAGGCACCATTCATGCCCTCCCTGCAGGCCTTTGAATGCACTGAGCTCTCCCACCCTTACCATGGAACACTCTGGCCTTCTCCAGCATGCTTGGCTTTACATGAGTTCGCCACCTGCTCCCGGAACGCTTGTCGAGGCGTTCTCCAGCGGAGTGACCCTTCACGGGGAGAAACTTGCCACAGGCTCTGTAATTAGAACATCGCCAGCCTTAAAAAATCTTGACTTAAATTTCAGTTCTTCACAGGAATTATTCTCTCGAAAATGTAATTGCTCTCTGAATGATTTCCTTTAAGCCAAGGGTGACGTCTCTAAATGTATTATTATGAGCAGATGCATTGCTCAGGTCTGCACTTCATTAAGCGATTGTTCTGCCTATCTGAAAATGGCACTGAGAGAGGGGGCGCCAGGGGCCCCGTCCTGACTGGAGAAGAGTGTTGATGGTCTCAGGGTCCCCATGGGAGCACAGAAGCGGGAGAGGAGTTGGTGGGACTAAGGAAGGCTGCAGACCTTCTGAGCGCACACCGTCCTCTCCAGCTGGTCACAGATGACCAAAGCCCATCAGTGGGCCCATTAGATGGCAGGAGGTCACTCCCAAGCCCAACTTCCTGGCTAAATGGCACACACTGGGTAAATGGGAGGTCACCTGTAGGTGTGGGGGCAGAATCGCTATGGGGTCACAAAAGCCCAGGCTGGTGGGCAGGGAAGGGATAGCCGGCACCGGGGACAGGGTGATGAGGCGTGCGTACACCCGTGCGGCCTCTGCTGCTCTTCCTTCAGCAGACTTGGGCAGCTTGTCCCGGACAGTTCTGAAGCCAGGTACTGTGGGCACAAAGGCCTGGCCCTGCTCCTTCATGGCACCCGTAGCGGAACAGGAAGGGTGGCCAAATAATCTCCGGAGGAGTCTTCTCAGGGCAGTGACATGAAGAAAGGAGCTCTGCCTGTGCAAACCTGGAAGACTGCCTGGCAGAGGAGACAGGTGGGGCCTCAGAGGAGGCAGAGGGGAGTGCCTGCGGAAAAGCGTGCGTTGTTGCCCACATTCTACTGACAACAACTCAGTGAAGACTGGGAAATTTAATTCCTACCTGGGTACCACCCCCGCCTCCCCCCTCGCTTCCCAGGCTCTCCTGCAGTTGCTGCTTGTCCCTGGGCACCTGTGGCTCTGGGGCAGCCCCTGGGTGGAGAGGTACAGCCCACAGCTGCTCTGTGCCTGGGACCCTTCTAGCTCAGCCTCACCTCCCAGGGGGAGAAGAGCAAAAGTGATGCTGTGACATCTACTCCAAGCTGTGCACATCTCTGATCACTGTATTTTGTTCACAGGAGCAACCAGGGCTTTATGCACATGAAACTGGCCAAAACCAAAGAGAAGTACGTGCTGGGTCAGAACAGCCCTCCATTCGACAGCGTCCCGGAAGTCATCCACCACTACACCACCAGGAAGCTCCCCATCAAAGGGGCTGAGCACCTGTCCCTCCTCTACCCGGTGGCTGTGCGGACCCTGTGAGCGGGCCAGCCCGGCCCTGCTCAGTGACAGTGCTGAGACTTGGAGGCGCTGGCCGGGCGCCCACCAGCACAGCTGTGTTGCCAGCTGTATCCAGTTTGTGTTGTGTGTATGGTACTAGCACACCACTGCATGTCTTAGAATGCTGTTGCCACTTCCGGGGCTGGAAGGGCCTTGGATGAAGAAGGACTGCCAGCCGCCCGCTGCCCCAGTCCCCATCCCGCCCCCACCCCCCTCCTTGAGTTTCTGTGAATTAAAATATTTGCAATCCAAAGAGATGCCTTCCAGGATGAACAAAGGCAGAGCAGCTCCAGCAGTGGGCGGAGCGGAAATCCCTGGGCTGCATCTCTTTGTTCTCCAGCTGTCACAAACTCATACCTGAGTAGGGCAAACTTTTCCCTTTGGTGCTGGGAGCCAAAGCTGGCCCCGAGAGCCCAGGAGGGCCCAGGGGTTGGCTCTCCAATGTGTGTGTGTTTCTGGGTGCACAATGGGCACATAGGTGAGAGAACATGGCCACACACACACACACACACACACACACACACACACACAGGAGAAAGTCCCCATCTACTTCTAGTCTCTCTGTAATCATTAGATCTTCAAGGAATCATTGTGCAGTCAGAAAGAGGATGCAATTATTTATGAATAGGGTGTGTAAATAAAATAGTCATTTAATATATATTCTCATCCCTTGTTTTCTATACCACACAGGGTCTGGGCAGGGGCAGTATTTGCATGTCTGTCTCAAAACTAAGTATCTTCAGCTTGGCTGGCATGCCAGGCTCGGGGAGAGAAGGAGGTAGGGGCCCCAGTTAGGCCCCGCAGCTTCTGGGCACCTAGATGGCTGCTGCAGGAACTGGGCCAGGAGCTGAGGAACACAGCTTGGCCCGAGGAGAAAGTCAGCCTGCAGGAAGGGCCGGCCAGATGCACAGTCAGTACGGAGCATTGTGAGTCTTAAGGTTGGTCTAGCACCAAGATTCTCCCTCTTGCCCTTGGCACCTGGAAGCAAGTCCAGGTGAGCCCCTTGGGTGTCCAGCAGCCAGCAGGCTGAGGTTTTTAACATGGGGGAGAAGAGGGTGGGAAGAAGGAAGTAACATGCCCGAGGTTCCCCCAGCTCATAGGAAGTAGGGCAGACTCCATGACCAAAGCTCTGGTTTGCCTGGCTTCGCTGTCACCTGGCCGCAGGAGGATGAAGGGCTGTCTTGGTCATCCACACTACGGCTACATACATAAACCACATCCACACCCCCCTCCAGCATGTCCCAGCCTCCTGAGGCAGGTGCTTCTCACATACGAAGCAATTCCATTTGGTTTTCTGGGGGAAAAAAATAATAAACAAAACTTGGATGTCTTGTTCAGATGCAAAACAAAATAAATTATCCAGCCAGGTACTTGTGGCTCATGCCTATAATCCTAGCTATTCAGGAGGCTGAGATCTGAGGATCCAGGTTTGAAGCCAGCTCAGGTAGGAAAGTCCATGAAACTCTTACCTACAATTAACCACCAGAAAACCAGAAGTGGAGCTGTGGCTCAGAGTGGTAGAGTGCTAGCCTTGAGCAAGAGAGCTCAGGGACCTGAGTTCCAGCACCCAGGCCCTGAGTTCAAGGCCATGACCAACCCTCCCCACTCCCCCAAAAAATGGGTTATCTGACCCATAGCCACCACCTTGCAGCATGAAAGGCATGGCTGCCACGCCCATGAATTACATGACTACTACTCAGACTCAGCAAGGGTTCTGATACATCTGAGCAGGATGGCACCTTTAGGAAGAGCACTTGCTTATGTTCAGACAGTTGGAGCCCACTGCCCAGCGGGGAGAGAGGTCTGGAGGACTCCATAAGACCTGTCAGATTGGGGCAGAGCAGGACTAAAAGCCACCTTTGGGCAAACCTAGTTCCTTGATGTCCCCTCTTAAACACCCCACCTCTTGGGTCACCCTAACTGATCCTTGTTTGTCCATCCAGGGGCCCCAGCCCCTCAGTATTGCCTCAGTGGCTGTAGCCTTGGTCTAGTCTCCCAAGAAACCAGCCTTTGCCTGTTTTGCATTGTTCAGAACAGCTGCAGGTCAGAGAGGTCAAAGAGAATGCCTGGAGGGACCCGGGCTGCCTGGTGTGGGGCGGGGGGGGGATAGGCACAATGAAATGAGTGGGGAGCTGGCAGGGGTCCACACAGGTGCCACCACTCTGGGGGGGGGGGGACGCAGTGCCTTGAGCCTTGCAATCGGGAGATTGAGGCTTCGACAGGGCGCGTTCAGATGCGGCATTCTAAGCATTTCCTGAGGCTGCCGAGCCGCACAGCCCTCCCTGGAGGCCAGTCTCAGAGCAAGCTTCTCAGCAAGGTCTGGAGCCTAGGGGTGAGGAAGTGAAGCGGGACCCCCAGCTTAGCCCTGGCTTGTGGGATCGCCAGCACCCTCTTCGCTACCTCATCTTCCCCAGCTTGCCCGCTTGCCTGAGGGACTGAGGTTGGCTGAGGGGCCGTCTAGAGGATGGGAGATGCTAAAAGGAATTTTTTTCCCTTTAATTTTTATGAACCTCTCCCCTCCTTCCTCTAATTGTGACTGTTTCCTCTGTCAGCGTGGTATTCATGTTTTCTTGGACATCTAACAATTGAAACAGCTTTTCCCTTTCAGAAACACTCACATTCAGGTTACTGGCGTTGGTTTGGTTTTTGTTTTGGCTTTTTTTTTTTCATCTGCTGCCAATTAATGGAAAGGAGAGAGAAAAAAAAAATGAGCTGGGTGAGGGGGAAGGGCTCCCTGCCACACAATATCTTGCCCTGGGCATTTTGTTTGAGAACACAGCCTCCAGCCTCTTAAGACCCTTTCTGCTCAGAGCCACGGGGACGTTTTTCTTTCCCTTCTTTGCTGGCTTCATTATTGACCACAATGGTCCGGGCCACTTCAGCAGCTCTGTCCTTGAGCCCCACAGAGTCAAGGGCCCTTTTGGCAGCCCAGCAGAACAAGATGGCGGCCACAGGAAGAATGGAGGCTTTGTGGGGAGACGGCCCACCTGCCTGCCAAGGCCCTTCAATCCTGAGAGACTCCCAGAGCAACCTTGCAGGAAAGAGGCAGAGGCCCTGAGCCTTCTGGAAGGCCTCTCACTGAAGTATGGTAGAGGCTGGGCCTCTTGCTGAAGTCTGGTGGCTCTGGGTTTCCTGGCCCGTGGGGGCTAGAGCAACAGCTGGAGGGAGTCCTGATCATTTCCCGCAGCAACTCTGCTTCTGCAGTTTTGTAATGCATCTCCAGCAGCTGTCTGAGACACTCAGAAGTGATTGATGTCACTTCACCAAAATCCTGGTAGGGCCTGGCAGCCAGGCCTACTGTGTGTTCACAAATCCTGGAGACAGTGCTTGTGCCCTTCAGACAAGCCAGGCTGGCTTTAGAGTTGACCCAGGGATATCCCTGAAAAGGTCCTACTGAATCAGGCAATTGTCCAGCAAACTGTCACATCTGCCTCTTCACACTTAAAGAAGCCAAAACTTATCAGCAAAGACCAAACCTGGAAGGCGCCCTCAACTTCTCCATCTCTTTCCCCCAGGCTAATTTGTCTCCCTGACTCCTTCCAACCACTTCTGGTTGAAATGTGCCCTTGTTAAGTTGCAGTTCTGTGTGTTACGCTATACCATGATATATATTTAATGTGAAGCTTTTAATATACAACCAACTCATTTCAATGTACTTCCTTGAGCTCACATGCTTGCTTGCTTTCAAATATGCTGTGTGCCCTGGGAATCCTGTGGCCTGACCTTCCTCTTGCCAAGACTGAGCTTCAACAATCATCTCTCAAGATGGCTCTTCCAGGAAAGGAGGAGCCCTGCTCTCTGATGACTTGGAAGACAGGTCCCTAATGAGCTCGTTAGATGGAAACAAGTTAATTGGGTCAGCAGACATTCATTGAGTGTCTCCTGCTCCCTAGGGTCTCTTGGATACCAAAGTGAATGGAAGTGGGGCGTCTATGGCTCACGCCTATAATCCTAGCCACTCAGGAGGCTGAGATCTGAGGATTGCAGTTCAAAGCCAGCTGGGTAAGGAAAGTCTGTGAGACTCTTATCACCAATAAGCCACCAGAAAGCCGGAAGTGGTTCTGTAGCTCAAGTAGTAGAGCGCTCACCTTGAACTGAAAAGCTGAGGGACAGCATCCAGGCTCAGACTTCAAGCCTCTTGACCAACCAAAAAAAAAAAAAAAGAGAGAAAGAGAGAAAGTGAATGGACTCTGCCTGTGGCCTTAATAGGTTTCCAGTGTGGAAAACCAAACATGAGGTTTTACATGATGTAGTACAGAGGACCCCGCACTGGGAGCAGCCAGATGAATCTGCTTGCAGAAATCAGAACATGTTGGGCCTCACAGGATGAGCAGGAGTTCACCAGGGAGCCTGGAGGGAAGGATGCTGCAGACAGAGGTGACAGGAAAGTGTTTGGGCTGTAGGGGATGGGGGGGGAAGTGGGGGGGGTGTTGGAGAATGGATGAGGCCAGGCATGCCACAGCCTGACTTGAAAAGCCCTGGGTCTCCCAAGGCTTTGACTAGAGCAAGCAAGGGAGAGTGCCCCCCTGCCCCCCAGCTTCTCTAGCCGAAAGTAATTCTTGGTCTCCCAGAGATTCTGGTGTGTCTGTGTGTGTGTGTGTGTGTGTGTGTGTGTGTGTGTGTGTGTGTGTGTGTGTGTGTGTGTGTGTGTGTTGGTACTGAGGCTTGAATTTAGGGCCTTGCACTCTTGCTTAGTTTGGGGGTTTTTTGTTTTATTTTTTGTTTTTATGCTCAGGCTGGCCCTCTAACCACTTGAGCCATGCCTCCAGTTCCAGCTTTTTGCTGGTTAATTGGAGATGTGAGTCTCTCAAGTTTGTCTGCCTGAGCTGATTTCAAACCTGGCATCTCTCAGATCTCAGCCTCCTGAGTATCTAGGACAGGCATGAGCTACTGGCCCGTAGCTGGCTTTTTCTTTTCTTTTTCTCTTCCTTCCCCAGTACTAGGGATCAAACCCAGGCTCTTACGCATGTCAGGTAAGTGCTCTGCCACTGAGACATACACTTAGCCACGCTTCATTTTTTGAATAGGGTCTTACAATGTAGCCTAAGCAGACCTCTACTCCTAGAGGAGGCAGAGCCGTAAGGAGGGAAGGGCAGAGCATGACCTGGCACATGGTCTCCTGTTGTTTGCCCATGAGCTCCTGGCAGAGAAGGAGGAAAGAACACCTCGAGATTGTTTTATGTCTGGGAAGTTGTTGGCTGCTGCTGCTGCTGCTGCTGCTGCTGCTGCTCCTCCTCCTCCTCCTCCTCCCCCCT